TAAAATAGTGGCATACAGTAAGAGTTGTTCATTAATATTATTTTCATTGTTATTAGTTTTTTTACTTCAATCGTATACTGTCATAAACTTTTTATACTGTATGATGTCACCTTCAGCATTTATGTTTATAATAAACCTCTTCGTAAAAGGAAAGAACTATTGTGTTTGTGGGTGCTCAGTTCAGAGTGTGATATGAATGGTACAGGAAACTCGGCGCGTGTGCTGTAATCTGATGTGGAGATGGGCTGCGTGGGCGCACCCCCGCGGCTCATTTGCCCAACAATTGGCTACTCAAGTGTTGAGAACCAATGAATTGTTTGTATGAATAGACGGTCACTCACACGCAGATAGCTGACGAAATAAATTAGGTCAATAGTTGGATCTGTCGACTACATTTCCTTCCCATTATTATACCAATTTTACTATTTGTCATTTGACATAATTTAAACTGGATAGAAGAAAAATATTTAAGACATAATCTCTGTCGGATCGATAACTGATTAACAATATAAATGATGAACTAAACAGTAGTTCAACTAGCTATTTCCAACTGGAGTTAGCTCCAATAAACCCGGTTTACTCTCGGTTAGTAGTGGGGTCAGTTTGTGTAATTTATTGGAAATGTCTCAGTAAGACATGCCTGCAATAAACGTTGTTCTCGAATTGTTCTCCGGATCTGAACAAGGAGAGAGGTGAGGTATACGGTTACATGAGCGGCGATCGGCAACACTGTTGCGGTGTATTCTCTCTCGTGTACTTACATTCGGCCGCTAACATGTGTGGGTTCTGCGTTCGGCGTGGGACGGGGCATTGCATTTTTTTGCGGACGCCAGATGAACGCAAGGCCGTTGAACCCCATCGCTTGTCTCGAATTTAGCCAACGGAGCGCATCTTTCTTCTCCAACGTCTTTATCGGACTACATTTCTATAGTTGACTATCAATGCGCAAGTGTCTAGCGATCTTTATCATTATGCAACTTTATTCGCTTTATTTGCTTACAAAAAAAAAGCAATGTTCATAACATTTGGCACTTCGCATTAACAAAAAGCTATACAAAAAGGCAATATAATTTATGATTGATACGATAATGTCTGAGTTAATATTTTAGGGCAAAAGAGAAAGGGTGATATTAATGCATTTCGGCAAGCGTTGTCTGTAGACTCTGTAATGAATATTTCGGAATGGCTTGAGCTGCCATCGGAACGCGTTGTGCTTGTGAGCACTTGAGCAGGCGAACGGACGCCGGCACGTGATCCGCTGGCGGTATATCGTTGCAACTTGTTAGACGCTGAAAAAATCGCTCAAAAACAATTAATTAGCACCGTTCCGTGCTCATTCCACGTTTCTCATTCGGGAAGAATGTGTGCTTTATGAATTTATGAGGCGCAATGATCTCGCTTCTCTTTGTATGGCCAAGCACAACGCTCGTCATAGACCAAGATAATGTGTAATATAAATTCAGAACGGTGCTTTCCTTCAAACGCAATATAGGCTAGGCGAGAAGCGGTATCGCCATTACTAATTGCTAATTGCTCATTAAAATATTTACCCATAACATTTTCTTTCGTAATATCAACATCAAGTGATGTTAAATTAAACGTTTACATGGGAAAATATAATCGAACTATTATGAAATAACATTAACACGGTATATGACTACGGTTTGATTTGTTTATGATGGGACCTGGAACAAACTTTTTATAATACTGTTTGAATTTTCTTATTTGCATACCAATCCATTATGGAGATCAATTCGTTGTGTCTTGACATATTAAAGCATAGTTCGGCCAATCACTGAAGACATTAAAAAAACTATTAAAAACTGGTTTGAATAATACGCCTAAGTACGATCTATCAATCTCATCTAAGTCCATAATAGACTTTTGAGTTGAAGGTAACAATAAATTGGCCTTGTCTCGGCCAATGACACGATCTCACAACTAATGTTTTGCAGCTCTGCATTATTATGATGATAGCAAGTTATAAAAACGTCTAGGTATTTCGAGTCAAACTTGTATAAGAAGCGTATAAACGAGCTTTTAAAGTCACGCTTGAAGGAGTACGTTAACAAAAAGCAGCACACGTCGCGTCGCAACTCACCGCTGTCTGCGCCCGCGCACGCTTGCTGCACGCCTTTCGAATGCACAAACTAAGTTTATGGTAAATATTAATGACTATTACTCACTTGGTCCAAATCGTGGGCCATGAATTCAGAGAGACGCTGGTGGAGAGCTGGTAAGTTTCTTTCGCTCGTCTTTCTTATCTATCGAAAGATCTCCAGGAATAGATAGGTAGGTTTTGTTAAACTTATGTGAATATATTGACTCTGGCTTCGACTTAAAGAAAGACAACTAGTCAGTTAATGAAGACGGTTTTTATTAGGTAAGTACTGGCACATTACATTTTTTTAAAGCACGTAGTTTACCGTATACACGCTCAACCTGCGGTCCCCAATTAAAATCTTTATCGATAACTAATCCAAGGTATTTATGAGTATTTACTGTTTCAATCGTTGAACAATTACAGGACAAGTAGCGCGTATTATGAAGGCAACCGTGATCATGAGCAATAAGATTTTTGAATATGTTTTTATCTCGCTTTTAAGCTTAGTTATAAGTTTCTGGAGATCGAGCGTATCAACTACATGAGATAAATCAATAAAAACTACTAGAATGTGTTTTTTATCATTTAAGTAATAATTAATTTCGTCCGTAAAATTTCGCAGCAGTGCCGTTATGCCGTAATGGTGAATTTAACAGATAACTTTGTATTTTTTGGGTCTAGAAAATTCTAAATACCTCCTTTTTAACTTAATGTAAATTGCAATGCAGTTTTAATTATTGCTTATTTCAACTTTTCCATATTTACAACAAAATTATTTATTTACGGTTCCCTTAATAATGAATCGTAATAAAATACATTGTAGTCAGATCGTAGAAACATCTGGATGTTGCATTAGTGTACTATTTGATGCAACGGTTTTAACATTGTGCCGGTAAAATTATTTGTTTTCTATGCTAATATTATAAAGAGGAAAGATTCAATATTTTATTTGTTCGATTGCTTGGATAGGCTCTGAAACTACTGAGTCATTATTAAAAAATCTTTCACATACGGAAGCTACCATCATATATAGGTTGACGGCTACTAGCTAGTCGTGTACATTTCTGGTTTTCTATTTACTCCTTGTCCATTGTTTATTACACATGGTATTCAATAAATTTGTGATAAAAATGAACAAAAACATTTCTTCTAACAAATAAGATACTAGAGTTTTATAGTACTTTTAAAAATACTACGCAATAAAACAGTACACCCGAAAGTAAATTCTTAAGTTTCATGATTGCAATACGGATGTATATAGAATATATACCTGAACAAAGATAGCCATTTAGGACGCTCCATAAATATACCGAACAGAGTTAACGTCCAAACTTTGGGATACGACTTCAATACCTGTTTTATTGTCTCGACTCATCGGCTGCATCTCGTTTTATTTAACTTGCAGTCTTCCTTTGTTAACGATCATAGAGAATTTCGACTATTCATATTGAATGCTGTACTTAGGAGTACTCGTTAATGGATTCTCCCATTTGGTATTCTGTTTGGTTGTCTGAAACATTACAGGCAAATTTTCGTTGTAATAATTTGGCATTGAGACTGAGGTGTTTCTTTTATATTGCTTTTTATAAAGGCGACAAACTGTCATTATTTAAAATTATCATTGTTAGATTAGATCGATAAATCATAACCTTTTGATACATTGATGTTGTCAGTTAAATTTTGACTCACTATCTAAACAGATGTTACCTATAGGTATGAGATATAACAATGTTTTCAAGCTCTACTAAAGTTCTGCTCAAGCCGTATGAGATAAGCTTCATTAGCACTAGCTGTCAAATTCACAATCGACATCAGATGGAATTTGGGTTTCTACATACTGTAGAACTATAATAATGTGATATCTACCTACCTATATTCATAAATCAAACGAGCTTATGTAATATGACGTAGGTGTTTGTTAAATATTATGAAAATAAACGGAAAATGGTTACAAAATGCCGCTTATTTGAATATTTATTGAGATTCATCATAATCACCAAGTAGGTTTGTAATTTTTTTTTTTAATGTGTATGTCCGCCGTATCTCAATACCGGTTCTCTTATAGTAACAGTGCAGTGCATATTGCAGAGTTGGTTCGTAGCATGTCCTCGAGCGGGTCACGCGTCGGCCGCATTCAAACTCGTTTCGCGGCGCAACAGGCGCACTTTCGCCGCTCTTCGGCTGCGCCCGCGTTCATGTTGCCTACTCGCTTACACAAAAACCTCTACCCTCTCCGCACCCCTCCATGATCGGTTCGATTCAGACTGGTTTACCGGCGACGAGCGACGCTTTGGCAAAATTCGTTTCTCTCAAATTGCAGAGCTTTTTGTGTGACTCATCCGATGCTTTTTAAATCTTTCCAAACTTGTTCTTGTTTTATGGCATTGCATCTATATATAATTTATTTATATCATTGTATTAGTTATTAATTTAAAATGCAATTTCGCTATAGCAGAATCCCTTTTTTACAAAGACTTACTTTTTCATTATTTCCTAAAGATAGAAAAATCAAAAGATATAAATTACAGACATCAAATAAAACCAAATCGACTTTGAATTATTTATTTGGAGCTGATTCTTCTTTTTGTGTTTGTACGAAAACAACAAGAAATAAAAATGTTATGAAACAAAAGCTTCTGCTCAAGAAGTGGAAGTAATCGGTGCAACACATTGACCGGCTAAAACTCTACACAATCAACGGGGCGGGCGGAAGTGTGGCAGTGGCGAAAAGCTCGCAACTGCATGGAGGAGAAAGGAAGCGGCGCGCCGCGCGGTATGATAAGGCGGCCGGCTGGCGTCAGACGCGGGGCGAGCGAGGGTCGCGGGGCGGGTGACGCGCGGGTAGCGGGGTGCGCGCGCAGCGGCAGCCCCCGCGCCGCACTACTCGCCTCCCGTCAGTCGCCCGCCGACTCTGCTTGTGCTTGTGTGACTCGCGCCGCTCTGTGCACCGCACTCGTGCCCCGATCACGACGCGTGCCGCCCCGCTGTGGCCGCAAACGCGACCTCTACGCTACCGGCGAAACGTTTCACCTAACTTACGTGCAACTTGCTATGTTTTAAATTTCGGACTTTATCCCCTTATCTGGCTTGTTTATCCCTCATCATGTAAGTGTACAACGCTCATTCTATTATATGCGACATTGTTTATTCGAATTCAGAATTCGCGGCGAAGTGTACGTGAAAGTTTTGTGAATTTAAATTTGGAAAAAGGACTTTGTGTATTTCTTGTGTCACATTATTTATTAGTGGTTTTTGGTGGACGGAATCGAATCGTCAACGATTTCCGAAATTCGATGGTAAAAGTTCCACATAGAGCAGACGGCATGTCATGTAATTGGATGATAGAGCCCCATAGTGCCGCATGGTGGGATTCGATCGCCGCATAGAAGCTTTTCACTCATTTCAACCGTCCAGTGGACTAGTATGACAGCACCAATGCCAAAGCTTTCATCGATATTACATAAATGAGAAAGTTTCGCTAAGTAGAGCTCTTCCTAATCTCCTAACGAAACTTTCCTTCCTCATTACTCAACGCAACAATATTACCAACTTATCCGAGTCTCGTCCGTTGGATGCGAGTGTCTTCGTGGCTTTTTGGATAAAATCCTTTGTCATCATTTTTGATATCGTCCGTCCGCTGTCGTTACGCGTTCCATCATTCTGTCTCAGATGTCGTAATTTGAAGAATTGGTGGCTCAAAACGTTAAATCCGACATCCAACTTTATAATGCTCTTATCTTTTCTTCAACTTTTAAATACACTGTCCAATGTAATCTAATCTAAAGAAATTTTAATCATTTGATTCATACAATGGAAGAAATGTATTAATTTACACTACAGTGAAATTCACTAAGATCACTCCCATAATAATGCATAATTTTTTCCTCGATATTTAAATACAAAATTCAATTATACAAGATAACTAGAATTTCTTCAAGGTGATTCTGGCGAGGTTACTCACAAATGAAAAATTACCAATGATGTCATTTTTACTAGTGCAAATGTTGATAATTCTCAGCAATCATTAGTGATAAACGTGACCCGCGAATATCTTATTACAAAGTTAAAAAACACTCGATAAATTGGTAAGTCAATTTTGTTAACTTCATAATGTCGAAGATAAATTAATAATTTAACAAAGTATTCCAAGCTAAAGTTAAATTACTCATTTTGGCAGACCTAAATAAAATGTAGCTTGTAGTGAAATATCCAGCAGAGTTGTTGTAACGTGTTAATTTATATTATCCTTTTTTGTAAACTTACTAAAATTCACAATAGTTTGTGTGCACCGGTGGGTAGCAGCTGTGGCACTACCTGATCCCTACAACAAACCGTTGTCAATAGCAAACACCCCCTAAATTATTATTACACGTCTGATAACGTTAAATTTATGCTACGCGTTAAAGTTCTCCTTTTAGGAATGGGTTTAATATTTAGAAGTCAATCGTGATGTTTCTCTGTGTCTAGTGGGTAGTTTTAATCTTTTGAGAATAATATTTTTTTTTTTTTGCATATACCATTATATGTGTAAGGCATTATCTACACAAGAAAGGGGTTTTAATTTTTCTTTCTCGATTTGAACAAAAAATATTTTAAAAATCATAAATAGATGCTGGTTTTTACTGCTTATATTCGATTTTTATAGAATAAAATTGTTAATCGTAGCATAAACATATTAGCAAGATCTAGTCTTAGTTTTTAAGCAAAATTAAGTCCTACGACAATGTTAACATTTCAAAGTAAGTTATCGTTTGAAATTATTCTTCTCCTATAAAATAACACAATCCGTCAAAAAATTGTCTTTTTGTGGCAATTATATAAACACGAAAAAGCGTATGGAAGCTTTTAGCTATTCTTATGAATTCATTGTTGCAATAAAAATATATTTCATTTTTGTAGAGTAGCTTGCTTTATCCTCACAAAATTTCGTTAGGAGAATAATTGATGAAACACATTGTGGAAACAGATTTCATTGTTACCACATTTTATATTCTTGAGGAAATAACGTAAACATTCTTTTTGGTACGTAATAATTTTGTTGTAATTTTGAACGCTCGGGTTATCTTGTATTTGAAGCGGTTTCGTCTTACAATTAATAGGAAAGACCTAGGCATAGGCATATTTCACAACGTTTAAATATTAAAAATATATATACATAGATAGTATATTCGTGACCTCTTCCTTAATTTATTTTATTATTTTGGTACAGTAAGATATACCTAATATGGCGAATATCTTCATTTAGACCTATTAATTTCGACGATGACTGGAACTTTAATTATTTTTTTTGCGTTTAAAACAAGACTGATTATAAATATTAATCTTATTTCGGTTACGTTATTCGGTTGCTTTCCACGTTCGTATGTTATACGCCATAAATTTGCAATAAGCTCTTTTTTTATCTTAAACAAGCTATCACTGGTCGAGATGTACAGCCCGGCTCTTACAGTTGGAACTTAGTGTAAATAGATCCCTATTCTGTCACTATAATAAAGCAACAAAACATTTGTGACACAAAATATACAAGATTACTAATTTTTTACTTATTTAAAATGTCCGAACAAACTAAACACGTAACTCATAGGAATTATTGTGATAACTGAGCGCCAAATTACATGTCATAGACCGAAAATTCGTTCTTATAATTTCGATAAAATTATATCCGTGAAGATTGTCTGTACATCTGAAGCATTGTCAAATCCATCCTCCATTCATGATAAATTATCGAAAAATGCGTTTCTTTGGAGCCGTATAAGCATATCAAAACTAGACGAAATTTCATTTTCGTAGAATAGGAATAGATTAAAGGTGTCATATTAATTCAGTACGAGTATAATTATAATAATTTCCTTTTTTCAATACTTCACTTATTAATTTCTAAAAAATAATTTGAATGCCCGTTTTCACTGACCGACAACAAGGCATAGCTTAACTAGAAATCACTTAATATTAAGAATAGCTTAAACAGATTTGTCATTTCACCAAACCTGTAACGTTAGGTAATGCCTTACTAAGCACTTGCTTAGTTTTACAACGTTTGTCTATGATATTGCATGCTTCAGTTCCTTTTATATTTTGAATATAAAGCACATTGCATTTAAAAAAAAAGAGCGTTACTTTAAGAGTAACGTAAAGAGACAATTACAAAAAAATATTTATTGCTTACTTTTTAAAAATCATTAAACTATGGTTATTCAATCGTTATACCAAGAATAGTTATACTCGGCATATGCTGATAATAACGGAAGAATATCTTTTGACTTATAAACTTGGTATATCATCAGCGTAAGTATTCCACACTTAAGTTCGATGCACAACACAAAATCGAAGAAAAGAAAGTATTTTGTCTGTGATTCGGTTCAAGTATCAAATGTCACTGAGTTTGATGTTTTTATCCCTAAGTTTCCATTAAAAAAATTGTTCTTCGAATGCAATTAAACACAAAAGTTATTATCGGTTACCTCTATATCTTATCATATGAGTTACAAATGTGTGGGATCGTCACTGCGAATCGGCGTAAATAAACAAATTATCGATAGTGAAAATTTTCGAAGGCACTTATTATTCAAACATCAAACAGTCAGCCAGTGAAAATCCCGAACATTGAGGCATGGGAGTGAATTTATTCGAAATAAAATGAACGTTTTAAAATGTATAGGAGACTAAAGAACAAATGAAAACTGCTCCGTTGTAAATTTGCAAGGAAATTTACGCGAGACGCTGTTTATATTGGATGTATTATTAGATTGTCACCCATATCGTCCAGTATTGTATTTTTGTACGTTTTGTTGATGCGAAAAGAGTACGTTCGATAAGGTCCATGCACATTTACGGGCGCTCTGCAGAAGATAGCGTCGTCTGAATCGTGTAATTTGCGCCTCGTAAATTTGAACCGTCGCAAATTTTTCGCCTCCTGCTAATTACCAGTCCACTGTTCGTCCCCTAAGACTGCTAAATGAGCCTCGCGCATGTCCTGAATGCAGGAGTAGTAGGTACATCTGACTCGTGTTTCGCTACTGCTTTTCGAGTGGACAATAGCCTTTGTTTTGGTGTAGCTGACCTACGCAAAGTCAGCAACTTCATGTAGTGTGTTTTTATAAGAGACGAAGAATATCAAAGGTTCTCTCTTTAATATATAAATATTTCAGTTAAAAGTTAGATAAAGTAAATTACTCTTTGTTGTGCAATTAATCTGGCCAGAGAATATTTTTAAATCTGTTTTTCTTGCTACATTGAACAACATTGTAGCGATACACTTTTAATCTAATTGTTTTTTTTTTAAGTTGTTTCTACTCATGCTCCAAACGTTCTGTTCTGGTCGACAATCGGAATTTTATCTATACCTTACTGCATTTGTATATTAATATAGTACGAAATTTATAAATCAATGTAGTAAATAAAAAAAAATAAGTACGTCTTTGCTGTCCATTTTTTATGTAACTCTCAAATGACTTACGATAGTTATCATGAAAAATAATTAATAAATAATTTGAAACGAACGACGATTGCAAAAACAGCTATCGTCACCACGGTAAATCGTCTAAAAATAACGTTTTAATATGATTTTCCCTAATACTTGCGAGTAGTGACTCAACCATCGCCCCTGACCAATGTAAAATCGTACGCAGAATAACAAACGGTGACATCACTTTGAGTCTGCCTAGCACCGACCAAACGCGAGTATGAAACGCATGAATGTACAATTTTCAACCATTCGCACAGAAATTTATGACTGACGATGCGCCAACGATAGAGCAATCTGAAAATATCCCTGTACGAGTACAAATTACACACATGATTCAAATCCGGCGAGACTGTTAAATATCGTGAAGTACATAAATTATGATTTATGGATTCTATTGGAATATAAATTTTGCTATTGTTGCCTTTCTGTTTGCTCTCATTTGTAGTAAAGTAGACCGGCATTGGATATTTTTAAGAGCTACCATAATTGATGATAATGCTATTCATCTGAATCGATAGCTATCTAAAGAAATATATTAAGAAAGTACTAGTAATCAACAACTGAGGTGAGGACATTATTAATAAAAATCGGTGAAGACGAATTTAGCATAGAATTCAATATTTGATACAAAGAAAAGATAGACAATAGCAAAGGTTTTCTTTGCTGAAGAAACAATATTCTGGAACTTGTACAATTTCAAGTGTTAATATAAAACACTAATCCAATAGGGCTGATAAAAATGTCGTCAACATAATATAATTAAAATACAAAGCAAGTAAATATTCAAATTGGTTGATACGACATCAGCCTATTAATGTCCCCACTTTTGGGACACAAACAGTCTTTAAGATGAAATTATATAAGAAGATATCGAATCCTATTCGAATGTAAACTAGTTCTCGAAATACTGAATAGAGATCTGTTCAATTTCGGGAATAAGACCATATTTTTAAAAAGTGCTTACGGAACGCTGTAATTGTTGCATTTATTACACGGCTACAGAGTGTTTGTAAACGTAAGCAACTGACCAATCATGCGTACCGAAGGTCAACTCGGTCGGTGGTGGTTTTGCGTCGTTCTCGCCCGCCCGCGGTCATGCGCGACTCCACTGGCCTGGCCAAGGTCGACCCTAACTTGTCTCGCTTTCCATCTGCGTTAGTCATTATGTGTTAGCCTTGCAGTTTCAGCAGTTTTTATCGCTCGCCACCTCACTCAGCACTATTTCATTACCACAATCTCCTATACAGATAAGCGACCACTGCACTGATAACAAAAGAACAACATAATGATCTCACAGAGTCAATTCGATACAATTTACGACCTAAACGAACATGAATTCTTAATTAGAAATATCGAACTTCACTAGTGCTGACTAGTGATGAATATTGCAAAAAAACTACCTATGCAAAAGCGTTTGTCTCGGTTTATTTTAATGATTTTGCAATAGGTCACATACTCACATCGAGAGTAGATTGTCTTTAGCAATGAAGTCAAATGTCAACATTTTGGAGTGACAGGCAATAATGGCAATGAAGGCAACGCCACCAACAACGGCACCTTTCGAATGAACCACGTGCGTGACCTTACCCCGATTTCAGACGAAATGATTTCTGTTGAACATTCGAAACCTTCGACTGATCAAATGCATTAAACTTTTTAAAACTACTTTGTCATATATTTAAGTGAGTATTTATTATTTTAAATTTGAAAATTATAAGAGCATCATAAAGTCTTAAACATAATAGTTTCACATTCAAATAATGGCTTTGTAAAGGTCAGACGTGACCAATTATAGTAACGAGTAAAAAGTGCGGTCGAGTGAAATTTGCCGACTATGTAACTAAACGTGTATGTAAAATAAAATATATTGAGGTACTTTAGCAAGACGTTATTTATATTTTTATCTTATGGCTATTCCAGGCATGGCTCATCACATTCCGATTGTCTTGATAGCTCAGTGGTAAGAGCGCCCTCCTCTTTCAGGTTGGGAGACCCTGGTTCAAGTCCCGGTCGAGACCGTGGGTGCTGACGGGCCGTCTGGATTATATTGAATTGAAGAATATACAAATTTCTTGTTTTGTTGCACTCAACCGCTCTTCCCATGGGGTATCAACTGAATTGACATGATAAATTCTTCGATGGTAACTTGATCGAATCGGCGATCGCACAAAGGCCCGTGCTCAACTGTTTTTCTCCCTACCCCACCTCCTTCCCGGTCGCTCTCACGAGATTCTTATTTAGATTCGCTTCCGTCTGATTGCTCTTGGTAATCTTTTCACTAGGTTATTGAATGTCTTCTCCGTGCGTGTCGAGCACTAAAGGAAGCTTCGTCATAGCGTTAGTCGTGAAATAAGTTCGTTTGAAGTTCTCTTCTTACAATTTACATTCTATGTTATCGTTAACCTTTAACGTTTCACCAATTCGTTCGTGGATATAATCTCATTGATATTGTAACTCATTTATTGCTGTATTGTTGATTCGATCAAGTATTCTATTCTCCAGAATTTTTATACGTAATGGCCGTTACTTGTCAGACTAATCTTTATTCTACAATGAGAAGTTAAAGAATTAACATGTTTTACCATTCAAGGTTTTAGTGTTATCGTGCGTAATCCACTATCACTTTATCTAATTACGTCCTGATCCAATTTCATGGCAGGTATCACTTTATCTGTATACATGTTTTATCATTGATTACATAAATGTCAACTTGGAGACTGACCGCACAAAAAAAATGGAATGCAAACTAAATTCGTTGTTTTCTTCTCATAGCTATGACGTCCGACCGAGGGGCGCTCTGCCTCCGACCTCGATAAAAAAAAACCGTTGCATCCATGTCGAAAATAAAATTTAAAGATTTATGCACGGTGGAGAGCGCGACGTTGCGTTGCCGCACACTGAGCTATTTTCAACCGAGTTATGTTTTAAATAGCGCATACGATAGGATTTGGTTTCACGAGTTTTTCCCTGTTCACGGCACAGAGAACGAGCGGCTGTCCCGCTTTATCGCACACAGGTTTTCATCGAATTTCTAATTTGATCCTATCGATTCTCGTGTCGTTTATCTTCACACACTAAACAAAGATGAAAAATAAGTATTTGCCGCACATAATGGGGTTTATGATAATGGATCATCGGGTAATTTAACGACAGCCAACTGTCAAGAGGACATTCATTGAGTTCGATAGGATGACACCCCCGCACGTTCCTCGGACACTTCATTTATCTGTCACCGGTGACAAAATTAACACTAGAACTGTAGATTGGTTGTTAATAAATAGATTAGGAATACAAAAATATTCTTCAGTCACATGAAATATACATATATATAAAAAGCGCTATTTTAAAATATTCCCAACTATACTGGTATTATTAGACTAGTTTATTTATTCTTCATATTACTAAATCATGGCTAGAATACAATTGTATGCTTTTGTTTATTTTTTAGTTAATGTTGAAATAACAGGGCAGCAGGTTCGAGGTGGAGAGCTTCTTACATTAAGGTATCTAATGCCGGCAACCGATTTTCAATCGATATTTAACTGCTAATTTTTCTTGCGCACCTTCATAGTCTACCTATGCTGCATCTATTGCTGGCAAATAACAATCATGGGAACCAGTATTAAGATCTAATAATAATACCTGCCTTCGATCTGCTGCCTGTGTGAATGCAGGCACGAGGCCTGTGAGCGGCCGTCGCGCGCTTGCTAACCCGGTAGCCGCTTGTGCTTGGCTCCGGGGCTGACCGCCCGGAGAGTAACCAGTGTGTTTTGTTGTTCGCAGAGTTGAGCCCCGCACCGCATCGGCTTGCTCGCTGACCGCCGAGCCGCTAATCTAGCTTTTTTCGCGCCCCACCGTCGCCCGCCAGACCTGCACCGGCCGCCGCAATGCTCGCGCACCAAGCACCGCTCGCCCTCTACTAAACTGAACCGTCAACATCGACAAGAACGCGTGTGATAATAATAATAATTTAATACTTGCCTAAATAAGCTTGCAACGTCGGTGTCTTTAATTCTAACTCCTAGTAAGATAAGATTAATCAATTTAGTAAGTAATCGTAGTTTGAAACGAGTAAAGCGGTGTCGCGTGTCCGCGTGTGCCCCAGTAAGTGTGTGCAGTAGTGAGGTGCGCGGGCGCCTATCGCATCAGCCGTAAAGAGTGCATGCCCAGAGCGCGCGGGCGCGCTCGCCCCCCGCGGCCTATGCGCCGCACTGCGTAATTGCGCGCAACTACCGCCCTTAACTACAGTGCCAACGATGGCCACCATGGTGAACATGAATAGCCTCCTGAACGGAAAAGACTCACGCTGGCTCCAGCTCGAAGTGTGCCGCGAATTCCAACGGAATAAGTGCTCGCGGCCGGACACCGAATGCAAGTTCGCGCATCCCCCGGCGACCGTCGAAGTGCAAAACGGAAGGGTCACCGCATGCTACGACAGCATCAAGGTAATTTTCTTTACTAGCTTTGTACTTTTCTTTCTACCGTAATTCTGACCTAGGTCTTTGAAAGAGTTGACTCTCAGAGCACGTTCAAAAACTGTTTAAATATAAAGGAGGTCAAGGGTAAGCTCACCAGTCTATTCCTTGAAGCACTTATTACATACGGTTTTTGGACTGAACGAGAGCAACCCCTCGATTCGAGGCGACATTTAGCCGCCGCCGTTCCGCGCGTCGACCTCAATCCAAGGCTGGCTCGGGTCGGTGACGTCACCGGAGCCTCCAACGTCTGCCATTGTGTGAGAACTGGCTTAATGAACAGAACGATGACTCGCCGCTTAAACTTGTTACAATTTCTTATTATTTTCCTATCTTAAACTTTACCATTTGAATTTTAAACGTAAAGGTAAACGTCAAATATAAATAGATTCTATAAGGTATATAGAATCTATCTATATTTAAGACTACTTAAAATTTCGGATGTATTCGCAACAGCCGAACAGAATTTTAAAATTTCTAAATGTCACCATCACTACAGGAAAATATACGTGAGAAATAATGATCTCGTTGCTACAGACAAAAAAGTCGATCTGAAATAATTGTGCTAGCGATGCGCGGTCAGTTATACATGCGAGTTACGCGATAAGCCGCGACGTTATCAGCCTTATGAAATGACGTGATAACGTGTGGCGTTTCGGACGAACATGAACGATAAAAATTAAAACGGATATTTAAGCGCAAAACCACGCCGCTGCATTGCCTCGGGCTTGTAACTTATCGCGATCACGCGGCCCCAACCCAGCCCACAAATATCCAATAATAACGCAACAATGTAGACTTAAGCAAAAAACAAACCGTAGCTGTTATAAATTTATCTGAGTTTAAATAAAAATATCTCTCTAATATAAGATCTCTCTAGCTCAAATCGTTTGCTAAACAAAGAAATTGAGATAAATAAAAGGCACTTTTGTCAGTTCTTAATATTTCCTTTCGTATTTTCCTTTGATGCTCGGCTGAATAACGCGATCAAGAGATAAAACGCACCGAGATCGGGCCCGTGTTCATTCGCTCGGCAAAGATTTCCACGGCGGCCGTCGCTCGATTTTTCTATCTAATATTGATGTCTGTGAAGCTAAAAAGTTACCTTCGAGAATGTAACCAGCGACACTACGGGTCGTGGGCGGCGAGTGACACGCGTGCCCAGTGAGTGACACACGCCGTAGAAACATGTTTCGTATTGTGTATATTTTTACTAACGCCCACGGACTGCTGGCGATAAGTCACCGGTGTTACTGTCTTTTTAATATCACGATTGGCATTATTCCCACACCTTCTAATATCAACACGAATCAAAATATTAATGTTTAGTATACGTGATAACTCTTGTATAATCCCAAAGGATAGATGCAATAATTCGCTTAAAGCGTAACATCGTGTAGTACTTTAGCACGGGATGCTAAACAATAGGGGGACTACCATTGTTCTAGCTTTGTGCATATCGTGTCTTTCATCGCGTTCACACTTCCCGTATAATGCAGGCACGGCATTGATTCTTACCACAACCCACGAGTAGGTACACTAAAACTTCTAAAATTCATCTTGCGAGGCAAATTCGATAACTAAAAATATTCAATGACTAAACTAAACAAAACATATATCCTAAAGTAAAATGTTTGCCTCTAGGGCTCAATAGAACCACATTCAAACCGGAATGCTCTAGAAAACTTTGAATAATCCCTCAGAGATTGTGAAATAGTGCAGCTCGTCTCCGAACCACTAATCTGCACGATAAAAAGCACTGAGCGACGGGAGCTCCGCTTATACTGTTGACCGTCGATGGAACGTCCAGATATTTCACTGAGAGTATGAAAAAGTAAACAAGGACTTTGTGCTCAGCGCTCCGTCTCGCTTTGAGACGGTAAGGCCCATCGTTCGCTTAATCGTGTAAAGGGAAAGCAAGCTCCAGTTCTTTCACTTTTGAAACTCGTATCTTTGTTTGCCCTCGCACCTTTATCAGATTGATAGTTCGCTCAATTACTTTGGGGAAAACTAGAAGTTCTCGATTGCTCTCAAAAATGAACTAAGTCCAAGTGTTACGACTTCTTTTTATAACATCACAAATACTGATTGCTCTGTTTTTGTAATAAAAACACATGGTCCAACAATGATTACATTTAAATGATAAAATCAGTAATACAAAAGTCAACGAGTGTAGTTGTCTACTTGCAGATATTGTATCATACAGATACAGACAATATTCAGACACGTGGTATTTTGCAACGCCCGCCATCTAGACGGATGAAACTTGTCACCGCCGTAATCGAGGTCTGATCAAACAACCCGCATCTCGTCCTGCAGCCCGCTAGCTCCCGCCCCCCGCTCCATCGTAACGTCACGCAACCACGTCTACCATGATTAAGCCTTCAATTACACGATATGACGAGGGGGTCATATTTGATTAGGCTACGTGTTGTGTTGATTAAACCGAGCTTATTACCTTATTCACTTGCTTCACTCGCTAGCGCTATATCCGCCAATCAACTTGACATAAACGTCAAACCGGATTTTTGGTACATCTTCCGTCTCCCAGCAATCTCAGTTGGCATTAAAGAGACCTTGAAATGGCAAGCCGCTAATTAAATTTGCACGAACTCGACATAAATTCTAATTGGCAACCGCGATTTTACAATATTTTTGTAGGAGAATTCATGGAATTTAATTTTTAATTCTTATAAAATGGAAACAATTCTTAAATTGACTGCATCAATTTGCACAATGAATCTAGATGATTATGTCATGCATTTGACACGGTCTCGACTAAACTCGTTGTAAAATAACCGAACCTGACGTCAGACAGCCATTTTATTTAGTTATTTGTCGGTTTGTCACTACCTACTTATTTACCAAGACCTCACGAACTCAACAATTTTATTTTTTGTTGTGTAACGATTTTTTTATATCTTATCGTAATAAATTTTAAAATATTAATTTTATAATAAACTGTTTACTTACTTTTGATTTAAAGTTTATAACTTAGGTACCTATTGAAGTATAATTATATAAAATTCTATTAGTTAATGTTTGTGTGTATACTAGCAATTCCCATAAATTATTAATGATATATTCTATATGTAAGTATTAACTGGCTTGCCTCATTCCTGTTCCTCAAAGGAAAATTAACAGAGGTTGGTTAGTTTGTGAAGGATCTTCTTAGCGATCTTAAAATTGTTAATTAAAACTTACGTTTACCTACTTTAAATTTTATAATCACTTTTTTCTTTTTAATAAGAATGAGAAACATGTTCATATAAAGTCTTTGACCTTTAATCTCCATTCGCTTCAAATGTTAAAATACATTCCGCCTACTCTAATATTACCTTCTGACATTTGGACTTTTGAATATAAAGTTGTTTCATTATGTTTCCAAAGAACGTTGTGCAAAAGATGCTAGTGAAAGTATGTCGTGCGCAATAAACAGCTTAGTCTCTAGACGTGGGCAGTGCAGTGATAGATGGTGTCTGACGGCGCCAGCGTCCTACCGCATAATAATTCCCCGTTTTAATGACTACCATAAGTTTTTACTTCATACACACATTCAATTTTGTTTCTATCAAACCGACCAAAGAGGCTATACCGCTATACGGTGTTTGTCGACAGTCCGAGCTGTTTTGTTTATTTAAGAATATACAAAACAAGATATTGCGTAACCGGCACAAACCAAAATTAGCCAGCGAAGTGGCACACCGCCATCTCTACTTCTCGGAAAGTATAAATTGCTTCCAGCAATTCCCTCAACTTTGCCGATATTGCAAAACTTCGCGTTTTGTATATATAATTTTTTATTGATATAAAAATAATGCAACTAATGCACCTACCACTATGCATGTTCTGAAAGCAATAAGAAATTTTCTTTATACGAGTACTTAACGGTATGGAAATGAAAACAAAAATCCTTTGACTAACTCCGATCGGCTGAACTCTTTTAGTACGTTCGCAAATAAGCTAAACTACCGTAAAAGCCATCGGTCTAATCCGCTGGAGGACTTTCCGGACCTGGCGTTGGACTTCGTTTGCTTGATTTTTATATGCTTTAATTATCCTTTAGTCAATCCAAGCTCTCCATTGCAGTTTTACATTTCTTGAAAAAGCAATGACCTTGTCAAATCTTCCATTGAATACAAAAATCACCAAAACAATACAAAGGAATATAATTTCGAACCAATATTTGAGCAAACAGACGATTTATTTGTGCCATTCCATTTGAGTGGACCACAAATTACGAAACGTCTGAACGAAAGATTTTACGAAGGTTTGATCAGTCACGTATCTCAGGTATACGTATAGCAGACTATGTCGAGACCGACGACTGTTACGTACGAATCAATGTTATGAATACAATTGCTTACACATCAATAAAATAACAATATTGGTAAACGTAAATATAGTACCTGCATTAAAACAAATATTTAAGTAAGATAAATATATATGTATAAAGCTTTGTGAATCCAAAATGTATAAATATAATTACTTATTTTAAACTTGATCAGAGAACAATTATCATAATTTGTGCGTTATTATTATAATTTGTACGTAAAATTATAGGAACAGAAAATAATCTTATCATAAAATAATGTTGCTTTAACCCTTAATAACATAAATTTAATATTAAACGCATAATGTAGAAAATTGGACCAAATGAGAACACAAATAAATCTCTTAAGCCGTTCTTTTTCCGGCATTCATTAACTCACGAGTCCAGCGCGAAGTGTGGTGCTCGCGTGCTATCGTTTGCATTAGTTTTAAAAATCACTTAATCTGACCCAGATTGAACGGCAGTCTGCCTCAAGTAATTGCCGCATAAATTGTCGTTCTCCATTTTAATTGTACCCGCTGTTTGGTTTCGTTCAACTTTTCGATATCCATTGTTTATAAATTGATTCTTATTATAGTTTTAACAGCATATAATTGTAATCAGAAGTCCGAAAGAAAGACGAACACAATGTTCAGAT